TCAAGTCATCTCATCTAGCTTCCTGCCCCTATGTTAACCCTTTAAGAGAGGTGCTGAGCCATCAGTTACTTTCTAAGATATCCTAGGGTAGGAATTCTCAGCTCCTTGGGGTCTCTTCATTGTACGAACTTTCCTCCTGAGAAGTTCATGTGCTAAGTGGTTCTTCTGCCACATTTTCCCCTTACTGGCTGCCAATCCTGGAAGAGAGCCTGGATATGCCAGGGAGGGAATCAAGCCATTCAGGATCATGCTGGTTGCCCTCATGTCCTTCGAGCGTTACTTGGTCTCCTCAGGGTCACCTTCCCCACACGTGCATGCACACACCGAGAGCGCTCCCTCTTCTGGCCATTCCCCACCCCTTCCTAAAGGCGGATGCTTTCAAGCCCTTCTCAGTCAGAGGCCACCTTGCCACTGCAGAGCCCTCTGGGACCCCGGCTTCCAAGCACACCCACACACGGGCCCTCACCTCCCTCCACCTCTTCTACCCCTCACGCTGTGCCAGGCTCAGCCCTCCTCTGCATGCCTCGCGCTTCTTCCTGGGTTTGGAATGATTAGAATTCTACAATTAAAATGCAATCGATCTATCAAGCTGTACACGAAGAGCATTCTTCTCTACATACATCTGAACGTCTTCCTGCACGTGTGTCTTCTCACCCGCAATCCTCACAAGCAGCAGCTTCTCAGGACCGTTTCACCCCAAAGCACAGCCAGACAGTCTTCTTTTTTTTATCACAAGGATTCCTTACTCTAGAACACTCTGACCTGACCTCCTTTAATCCTTCCATTTTCCCTACATGATTGGAAAGGCAGGGATTCTTTCCACATTAAAGGTGAGGCAGGTCAGGCCAAGACCACATTGTGAGTTAGAATCCAGATCTCCTGATAAGGTCTAGCTGCTGTCCTTTCCTCTCACCAAGGGTTTTGAAAATCACACCTTTCAAATCTGCTCAAGAATTAGATTCTTGAGGCCAGTAGATTTCACTGGGGGACAGTTTTCCCCCAGGGGACATTTGGCAATGTCAGGAGACATTTTTGGTTTTCGCAACTTGAGAAGTTTTGTGCTACTGGCGTACAGTGGGTGGGGGTCAGGGATGCTGTTAAACATCCTACGTTGGACGGGATAGCCCCTGTGTGATAACCGAGAATTATCCAGCCCAAAATGCCAGTGGTGCTAAGGCTGAGACTCCCTGCTTTAAGCTATGCAACGTCTAAGAAAGTCACTTTTGCCTGGATCTCTGCTGTCAGGCAGGTGGTCTACCCCGCAAACACTGTTCACTGATAAAATCTCTCAAATTAAAAGATCTCTCAGTCTCCCCTTCTAGAATCACGTCAGGAAGTTCTTCTTCCTGTCCAGCTTTAATTCCTCCTGTTTCTAGCGAAAGTAGATTTCCTGTTGTTTAGCTGTATTTCTGAAACATGGAGAGCTGAGGGGCCTAAACACTGGTTGTTGCTCAGCAGCCTGTCGGTTTTTGGTCAAGCGATCCGCCTGTTTGAACAGAGACCCAGCTGCCCTGCCCCCCTGACGCGGTGACACCTCTCGTCCCTCCTCACTAGCTGTTTCTCTCTGTGTGTATGTGCGTGTGCACATGCGTATGTCTCTGTTTCTCTCTCCATCCTCCAGGTCCCCAGGTCCTGACCGGGCCTTCCTGACTTCCTGTCCTGACAAGAACAAAGTCCATTTCAACCCGACCGGCTCGGCCTTCTGCCCCGTCAGCTTGATGAAGCCCCTCTTCCCCAGCATGGGCTTCATCTTCCGTAACTGCCCCTCAAGTCCGGGGTCCCCGCTCCCCCCGGCCAGCCCCAGGCCGCCGCCTCGGAAGGACCCAGAGGCCTCCAAGGCCTCCTCACTGCCATTCGAGCCCTGGCAGCGCACCCCGCCGTCAGAAGAGCCTGTGCTTTTCCAGAGCTCCCTGGTGGTCTGAGGGCCCCACCCCCACCCCTTCACCACGGAGACCAGTGCCTTGGTGGCAGGCCCCTCCCTAGCTCCCCTGAGGTGGGGGATGAAGGAGCCCTTCCCTCTCGGCCTTCGAGCACTTTCATTTATTGTGTCAAAGCCCTGGGTCCTCTTTCTCATGGACACCGGCCCCTCCAAATGTGAGGGGACCCGCCTTCTCCACTAGCAGCTGGGCAGCTCACAAGCCACCCCTGTGTTCTTGCCACCTCCCTCACTTGGTGGAAAACTCACCCGGAAGGTCTGGGGTCCCCCATCCCTGGGTGTGAATCCAAAGGACTGGGTACAGGGCCCTTGGGTTTATCACGGAGCAAGCTGGCCGTGATTGAAGGAGAGGGGACACCGCAGATTGCCTTCCCTCTCCGCCGCAGTCACAGAAGAAGAGACCCCCAACCCTCTCAGCCCCAGTCCCCGTGCCTCCCTCTCACTGGAGGAGCTGACCAAAGCAGCCCTGAAGGGCCATAACACTTGACCAATCCAGCTGCTGGCAGAGGGGGAACCAAGCGTTTTCCCAAGTGGCATTCTCATCTCGCTTTCACCCTAAGATTGTCTTAAGCAGCAGCCCAGGCTGCCCGGCCCCAGGTGGGTAGTGGAGGAGAGGGAGAGCTGCCATTCCTTCGGGTGGCAAATGGCAGCTTCTCACCCTCCACTTGCCCCAGGACTGGGTTGGATTAGAAAAATGCCTATTTTTCTTGTATCAATGTAGAAACTCTATTTTCTCCCAAAGACACTATTTTTGCAGCTGTTTGAAGTTTGTATATTTTCCGTACTGCAGAGCTTACACAAAACTGAAGAAGAATGTTAATGTTCAAGTTTTATTATCCTGTGTTTAGAAGTTGTTTTTTGGCAGATCTTGGTGTTAATAGGCCAAATAAATAAGTATTCCCAGCAGCTTCAGGTTCTGTTACATATTTTGTGGAGGGAGGGCCCAGGCTAGAGATTGAAGGGCTCACATTAGTCACTTCATCCTTGTCTTCAAGAGGAGCCTATACTGAACACCTAAGGTGGATGTGGGTGGATACAGAGTCTCTGTCCTCAGGCCACCACCAGGCTTGTATTCTTTACATGGGCATATAAACAGGGTCCAGAGAAATGCTGTCCGGAGTGAAGAGTGTGGTGCAGGTGGGGTGAAGCAGTTGGTGGGGAAGTCATCCATTCTTAGGTGAGTCTGGAAAAGCACCCTAGGGAGAGTAGTTTTCAGTGGGGAAATGAGGGTGACCAAGGGGAGACAGTTTGACATTGTGGGTGCTCCTTGCACCAACCAGCAAGGGGAAATAAGACCAGGGAATGGCATTCAGGTTGAATCTCTTGGCACAGTTTTAAGGAAGCTTTAGCTCCTTTTGAGTATTCGTTGCATATTAGTAGCCACAACACAGAGGGGAGAAGAAACTTCCTGTCCTTTTGTAGCCTCTCAGCTTTACAGTGCCACACCAGTTAAGAGCTCTTAGGTTTTTGGGTAAATGAGAATAGCCATCCCAACATTCTGATGGTACTTTGCAATTTACAAAGCATTTTCACAAAAGAGGCGTTATCGCCATTGTATGGGTGAATAGTGGACTACCCCAAGGGCAGTCATAATAACTACAACTGTATCTCATAAAATCTCAAACTCCTAAGCCAGGCTCTCCCAACAGCCATTCATTGGTTAGGTAAGCGCCAGATACACTGTAAAATGCTTTATATAAAATAACACAAATATCACAACAACCCAATGTGATAAATCCCACTGTACTAATGAGTGAAAGAAAAATATGGAATAACCACCAAAAAAACAGATACAAAGTTGGGGAGCTCGGATTGGGAACGAGATCATTTGAATCCAGTGCCCATGCTTCTAACTACAGTGCCCTCCTGCTTGTTATTCTATTTCCATTCATTTCAGATGAGGAAACTTGACTCAGAGGTCAAGTGAATTGTTTGAAGTCTCAGCTGGTAAAGAGGCAGAGCTGGGACTGGAGACCCAGCTCGGTGCCCTGGAATCTTGGGCTAATACAGTAGAGTAAGCCACTGGGCAAGGGAGCAGATGTGTGGGGGTCCCCCTCCCTAACTAATACATAGGAGATAGGGGTTTGAGGCCAGACCCTATCTTCTACTTCTTACCCCTCCCCTGAAAGATGTTTGGCCTACCCCCAAAGTCTTAGTGAGTCAGGCCCAGAGCGATGGGTGTGGTGCTGCCCCGAGTTTCCTTCCCTTGCCTGAGGCTGTGCCAAAGGGGCAGGCTGCTAGAAGGGGAGAAGTAGCCTCTACCCAGATAGCTGCCTAGAGTCCAAGGATTAAGGTAGGGCGTGAGTGGTAGTGGAAAGCCCTGGGGTCAGTCTGGCCCTGCTCTTAGCGTCAGCAAGTGGAGGCCCAACACTTGGATGAGGGAGGAGTCCAATAAGGAGCTCATTAATGCCTGAGGGTTTGCTCCATTGCTGGTGAGCTGTAAGACCCTGCAGAAAAGACACTTCGACAAGCTTCTATTTCCACCTCCAGGATGTGAGGAAATAAGATCAGAGCTGAGAAAGAGTAATGACTAATAAACACCTTAAACTTGCACAGCACAATTTACAGTTTACAAAACACTTTCACAAACCTCAGATTATCTGATCCTCAGAAGTCAAGAGGCGACAAGATGGCTATTATTAATTATCCCTATAGACTACGCACAGACTAGGAAAACTGTGGCCCAGAATTTAGGTGACAAGGGTAGGTTATCCTGCCTTTAAGTGACAGAGCGGAAAGAAGATCCCTGCCGCCCTTGGAAGGCTAGAGATGTGCCGAAGGAGGAGGACGGCTCCCCTAAATCAGGCCTTGAACGCTCCTCGGGTCGAGGGAGTAGAGTCGGGAACGCTGCGCAGCAGCTAGGGGGCGCTGGAGTTCCATTGAGGGTTTTCAGGCATTAGGACCCCGCAGAGAAACCCGACAGCCGACCGGGAAAAAGACTATTCGATTTGCCCAGCCGGCGTACTCCTCCTTCCCGCCCACCTGTCTGTCCGAGTACGGCGCAGCCAATTGGCCACCTCCACATCCTCAAACGTCATCATTCTACGCCCGCGTATCTCCTAGGCCATCCCGTCTCGCTCAGGGTCGCAGTTGTCCTCGGAGTTGCCTGATCGGAAAGTCCCGACGGCAAGGCGTTACCTTCGGGGCACCTAGCTCCCCTGGCCATCAGGGATGAAGGCAAGGCCCCAGGGCGGGTCGTCTTTCCTTGGAAGTGGGTACTCAGTTCTGAAGCGTTTCCCCCTCGGTGGCCCTGAGCTGGCAGTTCTGGCGGTGGCTGCTGGGCCCTGCGGTGCGCCGGTCGCATGCAGCTCCTATGAGGCCCCTGTCGCCGGTCGGCGATGTCCGGCTGGACCTGTCGCCGCCGCCGCTGCCGCTGCCGGCTGTGAGCGGGTCTCCGGTCGTGTCGTCCGGGCGTCTCATGGCCGCTAGCAGCTCTCTGGTGCCTGACCGGCTGCGCCTGCCGCTCTGCTTCCTCGGCGTCTTTGTCTGCTATTTCTACTATGGGATCCTGCAGGAAAAGATGTGAGCGGATCTCCGGGGTCGAAATGCAGACACCTCCCGCACCCCAATCCCGCCTTGTCTCCGGGTTCGCGGTCCTCCCGCCCCTGGCCCCGGTGTTCCCCCTTGCGCCTCGCCCTCCCAGCACCCCGACACCTTTGCGGCCGCGGCTGAACCTCCCCAGATTTCCAAAAAGTGAAAGCTAGTCTCTGGATTCTCGTGACCTGGTTATTTTTCTTCCCTTAATGGCTTTTTTTTTTTTTCTTCTCTCTCTCTTGTTGGTCCTAAGGGGCTGAGTTTTGCAGGCTGAGGTTTCCATGACCTGTGCCGGCCCCTCTTTGGAACTCCCAGATGCCTGCTGGCAGTTGATTCTTTTGCCCTCGGCCCTGCTGATGTAGCCTAGATCCTTTCTTTTGCTGCGTGGGATACCTTGTTTCACCAACTAATTTTCCACGTTTCCTCTAGCTCCATCCTTTACGGATATACTTTCCCTAGGCTATGGCATCAGCGGCCTGCGATGTCTAGCTGATCCAATAAAATCAGCTCCTGTTGTAAATGAACCCAGTGATCCTTACCAAACTCTCCCTACATCTAGAGAAGCAAGATAATTTCAAGGCTTTCAGTGGCTCTGGATTACTAGATGATACGGAGGGAAATGAACTAATTCCTTCCCATTTTCTCATGCATTTCATTCTTAGAACAAGAGGAAAGTATGGGGAGGGAGCCAAGCAGGAGACGTTCACTTTTGCCTTAACTTTGGTCTTCATCCAGTGTGTGATCAATGCAGTGTTTGCCAAGATCTGTGAGTACCTAGATAGTAATCTGTTGTGTCCTCTGCCCCTGCTTTTGTATCCTAGGCATTAGGCAGTGATCTAACCTTCAGGTCTAACTCTGAAGATCCCCAACCGTTTTAGCGCTCACAACAGCCTCTGTTCAATCTATAAAACTAATGGCTTTGGAAAAGGGTGAAATCCTATTTCCTTAAATTAGATCAACTTCTTAGTCAGAAGGGTGCAAAGAATGGATCTTCTGTGTTCCAGATCCTCATGAGAATACTTCAGACTGTTTTCTTTGTCCTTTTGATTTTCCTTTATGTGTCAGTGTCAAGCATGTTTTGAGCTTTCTCTCTTTTTACCCTGGGGGCTAGCAGCAGGTCTGACTAGTTCCTTGAACTGAATGAGCAGCCCCCCACTCCAGCCCTGCATGTGGTCTGGGGTAGGCTTAGGTGGGATTGGAGAGTTAGAGAATCTTGAGAGATTTCCCAGTCCAAGAGGACAGAAATAGTTTGTGCTTCTCCTGTAATTTGACAGACAAGTTCCCTTCATGCGGCTTCGACTTTTGCTCAGTGGTCCGTCCTTGGCCCACCAGGATGTATGTTTCTTTTGTTTTCTCCCAGTGATCCAGTTTTTTGACACTGCCAGGGTGGATCGTACTCGGAGCTGGCTCTATGCTGCCTGTTCTGTCTCCTATTTGGGTGCCATGGTCTCCAGCAACTCAGCACTACAGTTTGTCAACTACCCAACCCAGGTGAAACCTTAGAGTGGGATGAGGGTTGGCTCAGAAGTTGTTTGAAAAGGATGAAGGAATCTCCCTTGGGTCTGTGACTTCAATAAAAAGAGAATATGTCTGAGAAATTAAGAGTACGAAGAACCATAGATCTGAGGTTTAGTGGGGGTGGGTTGGATGTGATAGGGCTGCTTTCTCTGGTGCAGGCCCCACACTTATTCATCTTAACGCAGCACCTAGCACAGTACCTGGCACATCACAGACGCTCACAGACTATTTACTGAATTTAATTTCAGGTCCTTGGTAAATCCTGCAAGCCAATCCCAGGTAAGCAGAAGAAAATTGTCCTCATCTTCCATCCTCACTCTTCCTGCAGTAAACTCTCTCCTCCTCTGTTGGAGCTTTCTGTTCCTCTGGACTTTGTCATCCCACCATAGCTATCTCTAGGGACTTCATTCCATCCCTTCCCCTTGCCCATCCTGTCAGCCGAATCACTTCCTGTGGTGTTGGGTGTGCATAAGGTTGCATTCCTCATTGTGAGCTAGAGGCTGACCTAAGCTTCACATGGTGAGACATTTTGGTGTCCCATGTGTTTACATTGTCGTTAGATACCCTAAATCCCATGTGATGGTCAGTTTTCTTTTTCTCAACCTCTCACTCCTCCCCACTGCCCCACCCTTGCCCTGTTCCTTCCTGGTCCCTTAACCTTTGTTCTCTACCTTTTCCCTGCCTTACACTATTTGTTCAACTTTGTTGCTCTATCTAGCTGCCAGCCTTGCCCTCTCCTTTGATCCTTTCTAGGCTTTCTCTCTCAGACATTCTTTTTTCCCATAGTCTTTGGCTCCTAGGAGGAGAGTGTTGGGCTCATCACTGCCTATGGGTGCCTGAATTTTCCACTCTCTTTCTTTCCTGTAGTCATGCTCCTTGGAGTGACCCTTTTGAGGAAGAAGTACCCAATGGCCAAGTACCTGTGTGTGTTGCTAATTGTGGCCGGAGTGGCCCTTTTCATGTACAAACCCAAGAAAGTAGTTGGGACAGAAGAACACACAGTTGGCTATGGAGAGCTGCTCCTGGTATGTGATCCTGGTGGGAAAGGAAGCCTTTTCCAGTGATCTTAACAAAGGAATCTCCCCACCTACTCAGGTAGAAGGCCAGTTCGATGTCTTGAGACAGGCTGTGATGTCTCTTGCCTCCCATTTCTGGTCTTTGTCTCTTGCTGCATGGCCCCTGGCTCTGCTCACGTGGTAGTGGGAAGCCTAAAATATTTCACTACTGTTTAGATCTCCTCCTGGGGAAGGGATGACTGTAAGGCCTGTGTCTAAATGCTGGTATGAGGTCCCAGAGACCTGAGAGCAAAAAGTCTTTCAGTGTGGCTTTCCAAGAAACCTGGAAGCCAGAGTTAAAAATAATACTATAGTAGCTATTGCTTACTGTGGAGTAGGCATTGTTCCAAGTGTTCTACATATTAATTCATCAATTTTTACAACAATAACAGTAATAGATAGCATTATCTCCATTTTACAGATAAAGAAACTGAGGCAAAGAAAAGTTAAATCACTTGCCTATGGTCGCATGGCTGTTAATTGGCAGAGTTAGTGGCTAACATTGCCCAGTGTTCTAATCCAGGCAATGTGACCACAGAATCCAGTCTCGGGAGCACTGTGCTCCGAGCCAGGAGGCTAGTGTACTGGGACTAGGTTTCCTCTCTCCAGCTTCAGTGGAAGAATGTGTGTCATTATGTTGGGAAGTGGTAGGCTTCCTGCCCTACTCTGATTACATTAGATCTGTGTGGCTCAGATAACCTGTCATTCCAGTGCCTGGGGGGAGGAGGGCAGCTGGCATGGTCTCTCCCCACCCTCTGCCTGTGACTGAACGGCAGCATTTTGTTCTGAGGACTCTGTCTTAGGCAGCAGCTTTCTGGGGCATCTCAGAAAGGTGAGTCCTGCGTCCCATGTTAGGGAGGGGCCCGGTAGCCTTCTCACTGCAGGCCGCACTCTTTTTCAGCTCTTATCTCTCACCCTGGATGGACTGACAGGCGTTTCCCAGGACCATATGCGGGCTCACTACCAAACAGGCTCCAACCACATGATGTTGAACATCAACCTTTGGTCGACATTGATGCTGGGAGCTGGTGAGCAGTTCTGCTGTTCTCCCCATGCATCAGCAGAGGGCAGACTGCCTGCATCTGCTTAATCTCTAGTTCCCCTGCCAGATGCTAACTTTGCCCAGGCCGAAGGTCAGCCTCACTTCTCAGATGCCCTTATGTCCAAACCCCTGAGAAGCCTCCTTAGAGAAACCTTCACCAGCAGGCTCTGCTTGCTACTCATTACTGGCACGTCAGGGGCAGACCTGTACCACAAGACGACACAGTAGTAAAACACTGGGGTGCCCTGGGAACTTGTCTTCTTCTGAGGGGGATGAGACACTGCTATGGGGTGAATACTGAATATAGTTCAAACATGAATGAGTTTGCTTTTAAATCAGTGCTTCCTAACTTTTTTCAAATCTGGGCACACGTAGGAAGCATTTTTCGTACAGAACACGGGTTAACAGAGGGGGCTGCTGATGGCTAGAATCGACCGGGTTTGCGGGTACCTTGAGCTAGGGGTGTGTGGATCAGTATCGTCACAACTTCTGAGGATCGCTGCTTTCAATCACTTTGCCAGAACTAATTCAACTTCCAGGCCTTTCTCGGAAGAGTCTAGCTTCTCTAATCAGAAAAACAGAAGGGAGATGCCTGATGAAATGATACAAACTATTCCATACATCTTCCCATGCCCCACGCTCCTTCAGAGTGCTTTAGCGGACCATAGGCAGGTGTACTCATGCGAGTGTGGGCACACAAGATGCACCATTCATCTTTTAACATTTCTTCCTAGGAATCCTATTCACTGGGGAGCTCTGGGAGTTCTTGAGCTTTGCCGAAAGGTACCCTACCGTCATCTATAACATCCTGCTCTTTGGCCTGACCAGTGCCCTGGGCCAGGTGAGTGCCTTGAGTACCAAGACAGACTGATCTGGCTGGGAGAAGAGGGGTGGCAAGGTTAGCCCTGATGTCCTGCTAACAGACTTTAGACATCTTAGCAGGTACCCAAGAACCAGCCTGACCTTGTCTTTCGCTGTCTTCCTCCAGAGCTTCATCTTCATGACAGTTGTGTATTTTGGTCCCCTGACCTGCTCCATCATCACCACGACTCGAAAGTTCTTCACCATTTTGGCCTCTGTGATCCTCTTCGCCAACCCTATCAGCCCCATGCAGTGGGTGGGCACTGTGCTCGTGTTCTTGGGTAAGTTCCATCCAGGGCAGACATCTCTGGGCCACACAAAGGGACAGTGACAGAGCTTTATCCCCCCCCCTAAAATTTACTTGTATATTTATGAAATTTAGTTATTTTAGAGAAAACATTTTTACAATTCAAGTTTTGTGTTTGTTTTTTTTTTTACTGTATTCACTATATATGCAACCATCACTACAGTCAATTTTAGAACATTTTTGAGGGGAGGAGGTAATTAGATTTCTTTATTCTTTGATGGAGCTACTGGGGATTGAACGCAGGACCGCGTGCATGGTAGGCACGTGCTCTACCACTGAGCTACACCCTCCCCCTAGAGAAAACATTTTTAAAAGAAAAGGAAGCATTACCTCTAATCCTGTCTTCCTGAGGAGCGTTTCACTGTAGTGATTTCCTTCCAGTCATTCTGCTTTCCCCAGATACTGAGCAGGGTAAAATTATTATACTTATTCCCCATCAATTTATGCTGGTGTGGATGAACTGAGAGAACTAGCTTAGAAGTTTGACTCTTAAGTTTCTTTCAGTCTTGCTGTAGTTTATGTACATATGTAATTACCAGCATCTTGGTGATTTTGTTTATTTGATGCCAATCTCTTTTCTTGGAGGAGGTTTTATAAAATCAATGTTTAGAAACTAGTTACATTTATTTTGGAGAACCAAGGCTAACCGCCTCCCCCCGCCACATCTTTTGTGGGTTTCATTTCTCTCTGGGAAGTTAAGCCCTTTTTCTCTCTTTCCATAGGTCTAGGTCTTGATGCCAAGTTTGGGAAAGGAGCCAAGAAGACATCCCACTAGGAAGAGGGACTACCTCCACTCCAAGGATATTTAAGTTATTATCGTGAACAGTGACATCTCTTGGGAACATGGACACGCTAGAGATATAGGACTAGGTTTCAGTCTGGGGTTTTTGTTTGTTTGTTTTTTGTTTTTTAAAGGAAACAGAATCCCATATTCTAAAAAAATGCATTTGGATTTTGATAAGACAGAGTTGGCAGCTTCTGTTCTTGATGACCTGGAGCACAGCCTGGGGCAAATAAAGAGAAAAAGGGAGAAGGAAGAGGCGGGGCTTGGTGCTCACTGCCCAGGCTGCTCCCCCGTGCGTGTGGTTAACCTGGTTGGGTGGCCAGTTCCCCCAGGAGCCTAAGTATTATAGGGAGGAACTTTTACAGATTGTATAGTTGTGCTTGTGGCCTCTGTTCCTGTAGACAAAGGTCTAAATATGCCCGGACAGGTAGCTGTCTGGTAGAGCCAGAGAATGTAAAAATCAGTTTATCTCTTAAAGCTCTGGTGGGCAGATTCTTCTTTTAAAAACTACAGATACTTTCTGTCCTCAAGAAACTTCTCTTGAGGTTGGGATAAAATGAGCCCAGAGCCTCAGAGTCTGCTGCATCTCACATTTCTCCGCTGCCTTCCCTTCAGCCAAAGCTCAACCAAGACCAGAGCGGAGACCCAGTGTGTAGGCCATGAACAGCTTTGGAAGGTCTGATTCCCTCCCTCCATCTCCGCGTCTGTCCTGTGTCCTACCAGTCCCCTCCTGGGGCAGCTGGATTAATCCTTCCTATTCCCCTGCCCCTTTCAGCTGCTAAAGCATTGCAGACCGCCGCCATCCTGGCTGTGCCAAGGTGTCACCATGCCAGCTTCTGCCTGTTGAAAGGGATGCTGCTGGCGGAAGGCACAGTGGCTGAGTCCTGGCAGACAGTCGCTGTCGAGTTTTCTGGGTGGCAACGAGGGGAGAAGGCGGAGCATGGAGCTGAGCCACCTGCCCACTGCTGCCTTCAGAGCTGGAAATCACAATCCTCTACGGACCAAACTTTACACATGAAAGTGCATTTCCACCAGCTGCAACTTTCACTCCATCTGTTCAGCAGCCCCAGCCCCTTGGCTCTCCAGATGGGAGCCCAGCCTCCTTCCTGCGCGGCTGCCCTCCCACCCCCCGCCCATCCTTTCAAGCCCTGCCTCACTCGCACTCATCTCAGTCCCTAGGGGCCCGGGTGTCCCTGCGGCTCTGCCCCCGAAGGCCCCCCTCATTTTGAACTCCTGCTTGAGAGAAGAGGTTTGAAATACATCTGGCTGAACTTCCTTCCTTTCTCCACCTCTTTTCCCTCTCTGTTTTTCTCCTCCTGAAGGTTGTATCAGTTAGTCCTTCCCTACTGGACTGATAGTTCTTCCAAACTGTCTTCTGGGGATTGGTTAGGTGGTCAGAGCGTGTTACTGGGACCGGGGGCCCACAAGCAGTCCTCACCTGGACCAGTTGTTTTAACAAGAGACATTTCCCTGGCCAGTCCTCTCCCCCTGTCCCCTCTACCATTCCCAACGCGGAATCTCAGGTGTGCCTCATACTAATCCAGTGCAAGAAGGATTTCCAACAGCTCAGCATGGCTCTCACCTGACATCAGAGCAGGCCTGTCCTATCCTTGCTGAGCCAGGAGCCCCAGTTCTGGTATATTCACCCAGTCCCTTGTCCATTCATCAAACACTTCCTTCTGTGTGCCACATCCTGTGAACACACTGGGAGTTTAGAATGGAGTAGGACCACTACTCACTCTCTCGGAGCTTCATAATCTCATAGGGAGATGGGGAGATAAATCATTGCATCTCAGAAATGCAGGGCTAACTACGAAGGAAGGTGTCTGGGCAAGGCGAGGCTTGAGCTGGGGAGTGTGGGGAGATGAAAGGAAGAGGAAATGGAGCTTTGGCTCCAGTGCCAAGTGGGAAGTGGGGTTTAAAACGGCCTGGCTTCTCCCTGTGCTCCTGCCTCTAATCAGTTCAAGTGAGAGCACAGGGGCAGGTGAGCGGCTCTGCAGTGAGGTGTCGTTCAGCTCAATTGGAAGATATTTTAAAACGTTGTGTAAGCTGCCAGCCCGTGCGGGGTGGCGTGCTTACCGACAGGATCACAGGAACTGAGAGAGCCAAGTTACACTGAAGTCGGTAACACGCCGCTAGGTTATAATGGTACCGATAAACGTGAAATACCAGACAAGTTCAAACAGAAGTATTGTTGATCACTAACCCTGGGCAGCCTCAGGTTTCTAACGATCAAAGGACTTTCATCTGCAGTTAATTCTCAGTTACGTGTGGAGGAGAGGGAACCAAGCACGGTGTTTTTAGTTTGCGGTGTATCATACTTAACATCTATTTTGGTCAGACTGTCAGGTTCAACTCCTTAGCTGTTTGTGCTCAGGCTCATGGTAAAAGTGGTTTTTCCCATTCCTGTACACCTCTTAGCCCAGGGCAAGGGGAGTGATGTACAAATGTGATCTGGGGTAAAACCATACGAAAAGCTGCTCTGGAATTAACCATTATAAGGAAGAAAAGTTATATGTCATTTTTCAAAGGATTTAAAGGGGCAGGAATTAAACATTCACTGTGGCTAGATCATCTTTCAAGTGAGTTACTTGGGATTGGGTGATGTGTTTTCTCCCAGCCCAGTGAGACCCTTGTGAAGAGGACCGAGTGGGCATCTGCATCTTTTAGAAATGGAAAAACAAGTTAGGGGAGGTGGGACAAGCTGCAGCAGGCCCCTGGGCATGTCCCTGAGAGATTAACTAGAACTCACGGTTCTCCGAGTTCTGGTTGCATCTTGGACCTGTGCCCTCAGAGGGGGAGAAGCCAAGCTCCTCAGGAGGCCCTTAGCGTCTGCCGTCTGGTCCCACTTGTCAGTGAAACAGTTTGCACACTTTATGAGTGGTGCCGGTCACTTTCCTCAGATGTCCTGGCAGAGAAATTGTCCTGGGTCTCTGCGGGATCGTTCAGCCCTTCCCGCTGGAAACATACCAGCTGTCTTTAGGAACAGCATCTCATATTTACTGAGCGCCTCCTTTCCCAAAGCTCTTTAGTTCATGACTTTTTATCATTACAACACTCCTGGGGAGAGCTGAGGCCAGAAACAAGTGTCCCCATATTTGGACTAGGAAGCCTGAAATCCACCTAAGTGCATCAGCTGAAGGTCACACGACTTCGTGGGAGGGCAGGGCCCAAGGTGAGTGACACCACATGTCAGAGGTCAGCAAGCTAAGCCAGTGATTCCCAGCCTTTTGGATTTCACGATCCATTAGAATTTCCAAATAATTTGGGGGCTGACATAGATACACTGGCTTTTTATTTTTTAAAGTAAGGACATTTTTAAAAAATCTAATATGGCTTACAAAAGGAGATTTTAACTCCCAAAATTTAAGGAAAAGCTATCCACCTCAGAATAAAGAATCCTTTTGAAGAAATGGTAGTTGGAAATCATACCACTATATAGGTCATAAAAAAGCTGATTAATTGCAGAAAATGTTCAACATAAAATGTTATCCTGTGGTAATACATTGCAGGTATATCATTACGATTCTTTGCCTGAAACCACTTGGTCAATCTGGGGCCTGCATTCCCTAAAGCAATCTGCTGGAGCTGAATGTCACATAAGCATGCTGACAAAGATGGCAGCAACATGCAATGAGGTGTGACACCATTTAGAACATCCTGAGAGAGTCTGAAAACAACATCCGCCTGACCTGGGCCGCTTCTGCCTTCCCTCTGCAGGGCCAGGAGGGGAGCAGGCTGTGGGGGCCAGAAGGCTTTCCATTAAGGGCCGTGGGAGGGAGACTCCGCACCTCTGCCCCAAGGTCTGCTCCTGGGGTGTTCAGCCCTGGCTTTGGTCACCCAGCTCAGAGCGCCCAGAAACTGTTTCAGGAGATTTCCCCCTACTGGTGAAAGCTCATTTCTGACAGGCGCAGTCAGACTAGGAGCCAGGGGGCTATGCGGGCCTCGGCAGGAAGGCTGGAAAGCAGAACAAAGGTCTTGGACTGAGGAGTGGTTTCATTCAGAGCCGTCCACTCAGCTCAGGCACAAGTCCACGAAGGCCGGTGGGTTTTCTGTCCAAAGATGCTTGACTCCTATCATTTCTGGGAGAGGCGGAGGAAGGAAGCGGTTCAGGGCATTCTCCAAGGGGGGGGACAGGATAGTTCCTCCTGCCCACTTCTGTGTTTTGCCATGGTGTGTGGGTGGCCAGAGCTAGCAGAAGCATCAGGTTTCAGCTTAGGGGCTAGCTAGACACCATTTCCTCCTACTCAAGACCCTGGAACTGCGCATTCAGACCAGAACCCCAGAGCGAATGTGTCACTCTCACACGAACACTCAAAACTCCTGCAATGTTATGTAAAGTGTGAGTGTGTGTGTGTGTGTGTGTGTGTGTGTGTGTGTGTGTGTGTGTGTGTTAACACAAGTGCTCACACGTATGTCAAGCTAGTAGGTTTATTTTTCTGTAAAAAGGGTCCAGGGATCTCTTTAGAGTCTCATAGGGGTACATATACAGGATCACGATAATCATGGGCTCATTTAATTAAAAGTGATTTCCCAACTAGAGCTGTTGTGTGACTAGGAACCACTGAAAATATGATCATTTCCGCTTATGTTTAGATACAGAGATGACACTGAATTTGCAGAGAAACCCAACAGGAGTAACACATCCAATTTCATTCCTAGTTGTCTCCTGGCCTCTCCAACACACTTTATCTAGGGTTGTCAGATTTAGCAAATAAAAATACAATATGCCCAGCTAAATTGGAATTTCAGATAAACAGCACATACTTTTTTAGTATAAGTATGTCCCATGCAATATTTGAGACATAATTATACCAAACAATTTGGTCTTGTTTATCTGAAATTCAGATTTAGCTGGTGTTCTGTATTTATCCGGCAGCACTGTTTGTGGAATTAGTCATTGTCACCCATTCTCATGGGCTCCTCTTTTCCTTGGAAAGGAAGGCATTCTCAGATACATCACCACTTGCAATTCTGTGCACAAGGTTTCCAGGTACTTTTGTTCAGGGCCAATCATTTTATAATTTCCCTTTCGGCCAAGCAGAGATGCAAGCCCAGACTTCGTCAGCAGGGGGCACCATTTTCTTAAAATAGATCCCCAGTGGAGGTTCCAGGGGTAGAAAGGGGAAGGGAAACATTGAAGTTTGTACTTGCTGCTTCTGTCTTACTTCTGGAACGTCCCACTTCTCCCCACCCTACTACCCAGCCAGAATTCTCTCTGGGAAACAAGAATCTGATCCTGTGACTTCACTCCTTCAATCACTTCCAAGGTCCCATCGTCACTTCCTTAATTCGCTGTAAAAAATCCTTCAGGATCCCACTGTAGTCTGTGTTCCCTGCTTCAATCCCTGCCACTTCCACCCTACCTGACCCCACCCTCCTTGCCCTTCTGGCACTCCCTGTTCACCACGAACTGTTTGCAGCTTCTCACTCCACTATTTACTGTCATGCCTTTGCTCCTGTAGTTCCCTTTGCTTGGAATTCCCATTTTCCATTCGATGCTTCTAGCGACTCCATTTATTCAGCAAATTTCACAAGTATGCACTCAGCTGTGATGCTTGGAGGAGGCAGCCGCCGAAAGCCTTTCCCTGATGCATCTCACGGTGGGGGCAGGGAAGAATCAATAAACAAGTAATCAAATCAACAAGGTACTTGAACTCAGTTCAAGGGATAACTCTGATCTGACTCCCTTGAGCAGAATTGATGGTTCCCTCCTTTGGGTCCTCTGATGGCTTTTCATTGTAAAGATCCCAAATTCTAACACCTGCACAATCGTCATAGAGAATAGGGGGGAACTAAACGAGCAAGTTTAACTCAACAGGAAGAGGGGTGAGATTGAGGGTGTATGTAGCCTATGACAAACCAAGAGGGCACGTCCCATCTACAGGGGACAGAGACTTTTCACCTCCTTTGGACTGCTGCCAGATCTGTTAATTCAAATAAAGATGGAAATATTGATTTTTACGTGAATCCTGTCAATTTTAAAAATTCTTTGCCAGCTAAGTTAAACATGTCTACAGGTCCGATTTGGCTCATAGTCACCAGTTTGCCACCTACCATATTGCAGCACTATATCACTGTCTTGTATCTGATTAGTATTTATACTTTCTCCCTGAAGACTGTCCTTGTGTCTTTAGCCCCTATAACACAGCAAGTGGCACAGGGTAGGCGCCAGTCAAACATCAATAAATGTTTGTGGAAGGGTGGAAAGAAGGGAGGGAGAAGGAGACAGCCTGGGAACAACAGTTTGTTGATGGAAGTTATTACTACTGCTTTGGGCGTGGGACAGATGGAACAAGAAAGCTCAAAACAATTTATTGCTGAGTATACGTGTGCCCGTGAGTGTGAGTTCCCATGTTAGCAGGTGTGACAGCTGGAAAATGTGTCTAAGAACCATCGGCTCCTTTCTCAGTGAGCTCCCAAGCCATTCCTCCTCATTCTTGGTGGATGAGGGGGTGGAGAAGAATGCAGGGCTCAGGGTGGACTCCTGGCTTCCTTCCAGAACCTGGAGTCACTGGCACAGAGATCAGAAAGAGCTTATATAGGCTTTTGGCACCAACTGATACATCCTCGGGGGAAGGTGTCTGGCAGCTGCTGCCACCCACTGCCTACCCGCTAGAGTGCCCCCTGCATAGCAAGCAGTTGTGGGGGTCAAAGTAAAAGGCTTTCTCTTCTCACTTGTCCAAAGTGAGATAATCAAAATGACCCTTCACCCTGCACTGGGGGAATCAAAACTCCCAAGTTAAAGAGAAGAGTGGGGATGGCTTAGACTCTCCTCTCTATCACAGCCCCCTAGAGACAGAGCAGGAGACTGACCACTGGAGCAGTCTGCTGATTTCTGTTAATGGTATGCTGTCCTATTTATCAAGAGAGGATGCTACATCGCACCCACATGGAGCACCCCATATGAATTCTTGCTGCCCCAATGAATAAGGACGTATCTTTGGAAAATAGACATCTGAGGCTCAGAAAGTATATCGTGTCTAATTTCCAAGGAGAAGTAACTAGATCAATCAGGAATCAGAACTTCCATCTTGGTCCTGAAATCTTTTCAGGCTTGGAAAATGTGATTTCATGAATCAAAGAGGGTGGAGGGTGCCACGGCAGCCTGAAGTATATTGGAGTGACTCTTTAAGCTGGACTATGGAAATTTCTGTCCCATGATTGTCTCTCTGG